TTTATTATTATAGCAATCTAGTACAGTATACTAATAAGCCATTTGTCTTTAACTTAATCTACTACTTTAAAAAACACAAAGCACACACATCCTCCTCTAGATAGCTTCGAATTTGGCACAAAAATCAAATAATTGTATTCAGTTTTTTACCGAAAGTAATTAAGATTATCTTGAAAATACGACCAAATAGCAAAAGTGTTTAAACAATTATTAGGAAAATTTGCCGCTCTCATCGCTCTAAATATTTTTAAAGTTCTTTTCAATTTTCAGGTCATTCTAGTTTTCAAAAAGTTTCTATTAAGCGATTCTTTCTAAAAATWGCGCTATTGTTTAGTAAAATACTGGCRATACTCAGATATTTTCYGTRAAAAATTATAAGATACATTTCATTGGAACACTCGCCTCCTTAACCGCTTAATGGCATATTTTGGAAAACTTTTCGCAGCTTCGAATTATGGACAAAACTCTAATAATTAATTCTGGGTCTTTTTCCAAAAATATTTCTCAAAACTGAAAAAACGAAAGTTTATAATAATTTATTTGGAAAAAACTGGATTGCCTTCACTTTTTGGTCAATATTTCCAAACAACACTGTCTAAACAGAAAAACCGTATTTTTCCTAATGTTTTACTGTAAAATACTGGCAAACTGAATCTTTTAGGCAAAAAAATTAAGAGATCGAATTTAAAAGAAAACTCGTCGACTTTCTTCGGACTAAGTGCTGTTGCTGGAAACATCTAGATGACTTTTTTTAGTTGTTTGAAGCAAATAGTAATACGTTACTCAGAAAAAATGTTGATGACCTTTTTTTTAGATGCGAAAATTTCAGTTTCGTGTCTCGTAAAGCTTTAATAAATGACTTATAACTCATTAAACGATGAGTTACAACTCGTTAACTCAGAGAGCGGCAACAACTCAATAGCGCAACTTAACACACTGTTACCCAGGCCTATCTTGGAATCCTCATACCTACAGTCATTTTAACTCAAACTTTTTCATTTTTTTACTCAAAAACGATGCTTTGTACAAGTAAAACGTAAGTGTTCTTTTTTGTTTCAAATTCAACAGGCGATTGAAGCAGCAAAATATATTTTTTTTAATTAATGGCACCCCATTTTTCATAACTAG